TTAAGATCTCATCTCTGCTCTGCAAATAATGAAAGACAGTTAATAACATTGCATGGTATTGCATCAGCCAACCCTTAACTGCTCTAAATCAATCAGGCCCACTCTGTTTGAAAATACCTGAATACTGTTTTTCTCTTTCTGTGGGAGACTGAGGCCTTGTTTTGTTCCTGGTATCAATTATGGTAACCCCCTCCCTGTGACTGGCTTTCTGATGAAGATTAATGTGTTGTTTTGATGTCTGCTTATGGCCATGAGCATTTTGGAATCCGTTTATTGCACTTACCGCTCAAGTAATGAATGATCTGCGAAGTCATAACCGTTTCAGAGGAAAAAATCAGTTATTTTATGATGAGTGGTGTGTGCCCTGTGAGTTGATACTGTGATCACCTGGTCAACTTAGTTTTCAAAAGTGTTAAAGAGCCTTCCTGCCCCAATAACTCTGGATATTTGCTTCTGTATTTCCTTGGTCATTGGTGCATAAAATGGAGCAGTGGGCCTACCTGTGTTGAATCTTGTCAGTAAGAAAGTTGTCGTCATGTTCTCAGGAGAAGCGAAACTAAAAAATAAGTGATAATTATTTATATACATGTAGGAAAAGAATTTTCTGTAGCACGTGTTTCCTTGCTACAGTTCACTATGTGAATCAAAGGAACTGAATGCATTTTTTACATCAAAAATATAGATTATTATATTATTTTAAATATGGGGTTTTTTTGGAGTAGGATTTTCCATAAGTTGAAATGGCTTGCTTTAGTGCCTTGAAAAGTTAAGAAATCATTTTTGTGTGGGTGAGCAGTTTAAAAGAGTCACTGTTTACAGCATCTGCATTTTACTTGATTGTGTGTTCCATGAAAAGAGGATTAATAAGGTATTCCTTAGTATCTGGCAAGTGGCACATCTGGCCATTGGCATTCAGGCTGAGTTCTGGTTCTGTTGAAGTCTTGTCTGGTCATGCAATGCGGAAGGAGAAGAGGGCACTCATGATCTCTTCTACCTCCCACTCCCACAGCAAACATAAATTAAAGAAGTGAGTCTTTAGAAATTAACTGTGATACACTTAATGTCTGTGGAGAGAACATACGCTAGTGAAAAGTGTGAGAATAACTATACAGGAGCAGATGAGAGGTCTGTGCAGTGCTGTGTCTTGGCTCTGATGGCAGCAAAAAAGGTAATGCTGAAGTAAAAGTGTAAGAAGAGATCTAAGTACATAGTCCTACTTTGTGCTGGGTATTTACCCAGTCTCTAGCCATTTTTAACGCAGGGACTTTAATATGACCACACAGGATTTCTGTGAGAGAGGTCTCACTGAACTTGTCCAGTCTTACCTGTGGGTCATCTGAACTCTGCACTCAGTCCAATTACATCTCCTCTGAGAAAATGTTACCTTGTTTTATCTTTGTTTTGAAGTTGATAGTTACTATTTTTTCTAGGACTGCCATTTTTAGCAAGAGAGTCCATCCACTCTGTAGACTCTCATGACTCTGTAGAGCTTTACAGTCATTGAACTCAGACATCTCCTTCTCAAAGCAACAAATCCTAGTAGCAGTACAAAAACTGGTTTATGAATAAATATTCTCACGTCTCTGAAACTGTTCCAACTCTTCTGTACCCCTTTTGAAGTAAAAGAGCCTCAACAGCACACAAGAAGAGCATACTTACTGCCAGAGTGAGTTGGTAAGACCACATGTAAGGTTCAATTATTGAGCTTTTATTTTCTTACCAGTTTTTAATAACAACTGTATAGTGGATTGCTGCTGTTCTTTCAGTTTTGTGTTTTGCAAGTCTACCTCTTTTCTTAGTGTTGTGTGACAATGCTGCATTTGTTATAGATATTAAAAAACAATGTGACTATCTGGTATCTTCGTGACATCTAAAACCAGTTTAGTGAACAATTATGTTTTTACTAGTACTATTTTTTTACTGATGAAAACTGACAGTGAAAATTGGGCACCTTAAATTACTTCATGGACTTTTTTTCCCTTCAGGGAATGCAACAGCACATAAATATTCTTCTAGGAAAAGATACCGGAAGCAGGAAGAAAAAAGCAAAATGGGATACCCTTATGGAAATATTGATTAAACAAAGTGAGAAAAGGGAGTTAAAAATCAGGAGTAGACAGGAGCATAGTTGTGTAGGCATCTTCAAGCAAGAGTAAGACTGCAGAGAGTTGATAATGGGACATGATCAGGGTCCATGTGTACTATAGCGAGGAAAATTGGGAAAAAAAAAGACAAAAATTACTAGGTGTTTAGGTGAACACCATGGATTCACTCCTGGCAGGAAAAACATACTATGTTATTAGTGCAAAATCAGAAAGCACTGAAAATTAAAAAAAAGAAAATAATATTCAAGAGGGGTACACAGCTCTTAAGTTCTTGACTTCAGAATATTTAAATTCTGTCAATACAAGAGAAAAAAGATTTTGTTTTAGTGACTTGCTGGTTGCCTTTATGGTGTTAAAAACTTAATTTTTCAAATTGATAATAATTTTTTTGTGTTTTCAGTTGTGGTAGAGAAACTTTAGGATTAAAGCTTGGAATTCATCATAAATATGGTTGAAGTGGAATTTTGCAGTTTGCAGATAATATACATGTTTCTTTCATAAAAGCAAGTTTAAGTGACAGACCTGATTTGTATTTATGATTTGCAAAGAATGCAAAGGTTTTTAATTTTAGCTTTGCTTAGTACTGGAGATTTTGATAATGGGTGGCATCTATGGTTTGTAATTGTTTTCTGGTCAAGCACATATGAAGATTGATGTTTTTTCCAGACAGAAGCATATCAAGTACAAGACTGGATCACATAAAAGTATTTTTGGAATTTTTCAAATCAGCAAATGCTTCCGTTTCTTTCCTCCTTTGCTCTGAAAAACTTAAAAAGATTAAGAGATATGGGCCTGGGAAGGAGAGATGAGAGAGGAAAACATTTCTGTGCTCATTTATCTGAACTTCTAATGTCTTTTTCTGTTGTAAGTCCCATGAGATTACTGAAGAAGTGGAAACAATTATTTTAAAGTTGAAGATGTGGTATTAAGCCAAAAGTGCCACTCAGATCTCAGGCAAGTCTGGATAGCTGAGTGTTAAGCAATCAAATAACCTTAAGGACAGTTTTGTAATAATGTTCCACCCTGTGAATGGTGGTGGATTATGATCACCAGAATAAGATATGAGAGGTATTTGTGGACTAAAAACTGGTCAGTTTTCCTTCTCTTTCTGCTCTGGCTGTCTCATCTTGGATTTGTCTTTCTTGTGGCCAGTAAATGCTGCTGCCCCTTCTAAACCTTGTGTGACTCAGAAGCTCAAGCAAGAGCAAGGGATAGAGATGAACTTGTCTTGCTGCCCCTTGGTAAGAACAAGATGTGATGTATCTGCTGAAATTTGACAGAATATACCTGTCATGCATTCACCACTTCACCCTGAATCAAAAAGATCAGCAAAGGTTCTCTACAGCTGAAATTCTGGTGCTAAGTCTGTACCATGCCTGCAGGAGTATGAAGACGCACCATTTTGGGATTTGCAATGGCAAGGTTGGCAATAATATCCAGGTGGATATTATCTATGATTTCTACTGGCCAGTGCTGGTAGTGGCAGAAGATGGAGAATGTCTGCCCAAGCCTTAGCTGTTCTAAATTGAAAGAGTGTGTTACCAAGGGTACAACACCATCTTCACCATCCCTCTAATTGTGGTGTCTGAGAATGAGCACACAATTCAAGTGGAATCTGTACTGTTGCCAGGAAAAGAATCTTGAGCAATGGGAGATAAAGGTAGGGATGAAGTAGTGACAAGTGACAGTACTGTGATGAAAGAAATACTTTCAGATCCAGCCTGCTGTAGAGAATGTCTCTGATTTCTGTGTTTTACTTATCAAATAATGGTTGAAAGAATAAACAAACAAACAAAAAAGTGTCTCAATTATTTTCTTCTTTCATAATATGGTGTAAGATAGGGATAAGGTTACTTGTATTTTACTTGCCTTCAGAGTGGTATTGTAGTTTGAAGAAAGGGTAATGGGGACAAAAGGAAGAAGGAGAGTCTTTTCTCTAGCTTCATTTCGCTAAAACAATACCATGAACACCCCTAACAGACCTGCAATGAATCCCAGATCTTTCACTTCAGATCTTGATGACCTTAGATTTACATATCTTTGTGATATGCTAAGGATGTAAGGAATTTGGATGACTGAATATAAATTAGAAAATATAAAAAAAATAGGGGGTGTCATTTTAGAAGCTGTTTTAGCTAAATCACATCTATACTGTTATCTGAGTTAGAACTTCAGTTCTGTTCCTTACCTAATATTTTTTAAAGGGAGAGCAAACAGGTGATATGTAATGGTTGGAGTTTTGCAAGACCTGCAAATGCGAAGGAACTTCCAAGTACTGTCTGCAGTGTGCTAGCTTTTACTGATGTATTAGACAGAAAAAAAGGAGCACATACAGAAGATGTCTATCCATTTCCTCACACTTTGAAATCCTTGGAAAACAGTTATTATCGTTTCATTTCTAAAGTTGTCTTTTAGGGATGAGGCTGAGAGTAGGATAAGAAAGTCAGTAGCAACAATGAGTCCGACTTCTGGAGATGGAATCTGAATTACCATAGTGTAAGTTTAAAAGCAAGTTTATGCCATTTTGTAACTGAGGCTATCAGTAAAGCTCAGGTACTGTTTAATTTTATAAGCCACCATTGCTTCCAGGAAATGTTTGCATTCTTTGTAAAAATGTGTGGACTTTATTCTACTAAGAACTGGAATGTAGTTTTTAATGCTTTCTATTCTGTCAAACACCAAGTAATCCACAAAGTAGTTATTGTAGCATTTTCTAATCCGCAATGGATAAATCCTGACCTTGTCAATATATGTTTCCTGTGTGCTGTGTTTCCCATGTGCAATTCTGGAGGCAGAATGTGGACTGGGAGAATGTGCTGAACTCACTGTTATAATGCTGTTTAACAGAAAGATTAGCTTCAATTCCACTTCAACAAAATCTTCTTTTCTTTGTAGGTGAAATGGAAATTCCAGATTCAAACGACCCCTTAGGTCATATGGATGGACTTGAGAGACCAATTCCAACACCTAAAGGTAAAATTAATTGTAATTTCATCACCCTGCTTAAGTATAAACATTCTTCAGAAAGGACCAACAAAATCCTTTTATAGTATGTTCACTATATTTGTCTATTAATACAAGTCTGTAAAGAAGGCAACCTTCCTTTTGTGAATTAGCACTTCTGATTCCAGGCAGTGATAGCAAGGTTAAAGGAGTCTATAAAAATTAATTTCGAAGCATGTTGAGTTCCCCCACATGGAGGGGCTAGGTGTTTTAATCCAAGCACAGTGTGCTATTATTACCTTCTTTGCATGTTTTATTTCACATTGTTGCCATGAAATTGATTTGATTTTGTACAGTGCCACACTTAGCATTTCCAGGTAAATGTTAAGTATTGGTGTCTTTAGTCTGAGGTAATTAAATCTAGCCCCTTACAACACAAGAATACATACTTTTAAAGTAGCTCTGAGCATTAATGCTTTGTTTTTTTAAACTTATTGTAGTGTCAGGATTTCTAGTTATTTATTAGTTAACATAAATTTTGTGACACTTCACCATTTAAAACTATAGATCCAAATGCTATTCTTGGATCAGAAGATGCACATATTTACTGCAAATTGTGCTTTCAATTGCAATTTGGTGTAACTTTCTAAAGCAGGAAATTTTCAGTATTCTACCTGAAAAACAGTATTTTTTTCAGTTGTGTACTCAATTTATATTTTATGGATGCATTGCTGTAGTAATGTCAACTCATAGGCTAAAGAAGAGTCAGATAATAATGTCAGCTTCATTTATGAGGACATGTTGCAATCAATGGAGACGTGGTATTGACCAGATCTTCTTGCAGTTTGTCTTAGAGGAACATGAATTTTGGGGGTACTTTGGAATATAGTTTCTCTTCTTATAGATATCCAAGGTTATCTAATCCTTATTGTCTTCCTGAATATTAGCTAGATTTCGTACCCCAAATGTGCATATTGGGAGTTTTTTTTTATGGAATCTTCCTTTAAATTTGGTCCATAAGTCAGTAAAACAAAGATATGTTTCTGTTTGCACTCGTGACCACCTTGCTACTGATTATCATCATGGGACTAAGTCTCTCCTATTTGGAAAGAAGACCTGGTACACTCCATTTCTCAACTCTTCACTACTTTCTGAAACTGCTGAAATATTTTAGAAGTTTAGAAATTGACATTTATTCTGGAAAAAAAATTGTAGTAGTATTCCTGTCAGTAGCACTGTATTACTACTAGTTGTTTTATTCACACTGGAGTACACACTACTTTTGATGAAAAAGGGCCATGTTTAATTTTTAACTGCATCTGATAGGCTTGTTTGCCTGGCAAGTTGGTCCCACTTCTCTCTTTTGTTATGTTTGAGCCTTTAAGGCTACAGACATAAAAGAGAGAGGGGTTTTTTTGTGTTTTGTTTTTTTTTTTTTTTTCATGTGACAGTTCTTGGTTAATTTCTTGCTGAAAAAGGAGTTCTGGTCACTTCCTTCCTTTGCAGAGCCACAGGCAGTATCTGTCTGAGGGAGTAATTAATCACATCTCAAACATTTCTACAGGGTAAGAACTGTATATTTCCTTCAGAAAAAGAAAAAAAAAGGAAGAAAAAAAAGAGCCCCATGTTCTTAAGTTATTCACTGGTATACAATCAATTGTTAGTTTCCAGCACACCTAGCTAGGAAATGGCCTCATTTGCTCCCATTTATTTATTTTTTTTTAATGTGGGCACAAAATTCTCCATAGAAGCAAAACTAGTTGGAATGTTAGCTCAGGTTTTTCTGTGTCATAGTAAGGCATCAGGTTTTGTTACAAAGAACCACTGGACAGTTCTACTTCAAAGTTCGGGCATACTGTTAAGATCATTAGAAACAGTTCCTAAGCCCTTCGATCCCATCAACCTTCTTCTTTCCTTCAGAAATCTTTAGTTACTTTGATTTGCTTGTAACCTCCTATTTTTAAAATTTTTCTTATTTTGGAATAGACCCAAAACAGGTATGGGGATAACCAGCTTTAATAATACCCAAATTAAAAACCACATTAAAAGTACCAAGTGTATTAGTCATCCTCTTCTCTAGAATCTTCCAGAAGTCCTGAGAAATGATTCCGTCTGCAATGACAAAACGAGTTTAAGAAAGGTGTTATTAATAATGCTCATTTACAAAGATGTTGCAAGTCTCTTCCTACAAGTGAAGCTCGCCTTCTAATACTTGATGAGAAAGGGCAATAGCTTGGCTGGGCCTTTGAGGAGAATTTATTTTCCCTTGTTTCCTTTAAGTGAACACTTGAATGACTAGAAAGCACTGTGTCTGAGCAGTGTTTCACTGAAAACCAGTGCAGAGCAGTGAGTGTTTGCTGTAGAAGAGCTTAGGTCTGCTTTGGAATAAAAGTAAAACATTCGAGCACAGTCCAAGTCCCCTCTCAGTCCAGTCAGTCTTTGTAAAGTTGATAGTTTCACCAATCTTACTCTCAAGTAAGCCTTGCTTGGTGTCTTTCTCTTTTTCACAAACATTCTAACATACTCTCACTGGGTCTTAAAAACCCACCGATTTCAAAGGAGAGGACAATGTGCACATTGTGACAATGTTACAAAGCTAATACTGCTTCATTCCTGGATTGGCAGTTGTTCATTCCTTGTTCCTAAGGTAATTTCAAGAGAATGTGAACCAAATCAACTTATTTTACATGTTTCTGGATGGATTTTTCTACATTAAGAAAAAAAATTGAATGAAGGATGAGATGCAAATTGGATTAAATTAGGCTGTAAAGGTATAATTTCATCTGGAAATATTATGTGGCATGTATAATAGTGTAGTTTCCTTAGCTACTCATGTGTATTTTGGGAGATCTGCCAACATCCCTTCCATTTTCTAATGTGACTCAAATAAATTGTAAATCACTCATCTTTGTATCAGGATTAAATAAAACAGAGGATGAAGAATTGAGGGGACTGTTTTTTATTTAGGAAAATGTTCTGTGCAAGTAATCGTGAGTCTTAGGCTTCAGTCTATCCTCCTTAGTAGGATGCTATTTCTCAGTTTATTTGGAATTCTGATTTACTTGTGGAAGGAGTCACTTAACTGGATTCCCACCACCTGCCAAGATGTTACAGTGCCATTGATGTCCCCTAAGCTCAATGTCGTCATACACACCTTTAGAAGGACATAATTTGCATTTCAGCAACTTTCACATGCATTTTCTTTTACTACAGTCTTCAGTTATTTTATAAGCCTAGGAAACTCTGTATCTCATGGATATTCTTTATAGATTATCTGTCAATTTCATGAACACTTTATGCTTAGTACCCTAAATTTTACTATGAAACAGTAAATTTTGGAACAATGGTGTCTTCCTCAGCGTTCCATAAGCCAAAGTATGTATCTTAGGTGAAAAATTGTGTCTTCATTGTGGGAAAATGTGACTTTGCTTATGGTGGAAATATCATTAGTTTAATTACTCAGAATATTGCCCCTAAACCCTTTTGTGTTGGATATAAGTTTATATTAGTCTAAAAATGCCAGAGCAGAAATTTGCCATAATAAAGAGTTGTGGTGAGAAAGATCATGCTCTTCTATTTATACCTAAGAAAAAAAGATTATTTGAAGACAAAAATGAAAAAAGCTGGGAAGGCGCTAAAAAAGAAAAATAAGATAGCTTAGGGAAAAAAATCCCACATTGCTTTTTACACAAAATCAGAGTATACGTATTTTCATAGGGGTTTTGAACACTATAAGTGTTTTATTCCATGATTATGAAAATGGTCTAAATTTATGTAGTTATGCAGAAAAAAATGTATTTGTCCTTTTTTTTAACAGGTGATTTTAAATTCTGAGTATCTCAAACTGAGACTCTTGTAAACTGTGATGTGTTCAGTTGGCTTTATGGGCTTTTTTGACTATTGCATAAAGTCAATTAAATAAATATTAATCTCTTATGGAGAAATAAGTATTCTAAAAAGTGATTAAACATATACACAATTATTACTACTTGGTCTGAAAATACTCTTGTATCTTCAGGTATCTAGCCATTTATGAATCAAATTTTCCTTTCTTTTTCTCTAAAACTGGGCATTCAGTGTTGGTGTTTCTTGTGGAGTGCAGAAAGAAAGGTGAACCCACCTGGATAGGAGCCAAAGTGGATGATTATCTCAGAGTACCATTGTCTCAGGAATATAAAGAAGATGTGAATCTCAGTGTAGTATCATCGATACTGACACTTAGTCTATGTGTAAATTGTCAAATCACTTAGACTCCCCTTGTTCTACTTTCTGCTTCTGGGAAATAAGTGTGATGGTATCATCCCATCTCAAGAGACTTCAATATTCATAAATGATCTGGAAGTTCCAAAATAAAAAGGGTTAAAAAATTGTTACTAAATACTATTCATGGTTGCCATATTGAACCTTATTTTAAAATTACGAATGCATAAATATTTTTAAAATCACATAGAAAAAAAAGAATAAAAGCAATAAAAAATGAACAGGAACTAAAACTTGAATTGAAAACAATTAAGCCAGAATTTACATAATCTAAAGTAACTAAGGAGTCTTAAAATATTTTTTAAAATGAACTTCAAAATCACAGCTAAGATCTTAAAATTACAAAAGCAGAACAATAATTTTATATTGTGTTTATGCCAAGAATAACACATATGGTTTGAGCCAATAACTTGGACATGTAAGTGCCAGAATAATGTAAATAAAACTAAGAAATATAATACACATGTGAGGTCTTAGTGATAGTTGCACCCTTTAGGTTTTTAGTTTAGTATCTATTCTTGTGCATATCTTGACAATGATTTGACACACTCTGGAAAAGCTTATTTTTATATTCTTGCCAAAACATGAATAATAGACTTGTCATCTTAATGTTGATTTGCTTTGGGATTCTGTTTGATATATTTATATCAAATTTATTCAATTTAAAAAGATGAAGTACTGGCAACCTAACAAAGGTTTTCCAAATATGAAAGAGTTTTGCTGGAATTCATGTCAACCATTTCCCTAAGCTATGTTATTCATAGAGTACCTAGAATATGATAGCAAAACATAATATATAGATTAAGTTGCATTGTCCTCTCATAGCTTCTTGACAGAACAGTTTTTAATCTGTTCAAGCAAAATAAATACTAGTCTTGCTTGTAGACTGTGTTGGAAACCATAATGAAAGAGAAATTTAATTTACAGCATTTTTGCCTACAGCAAATGCAGAAATATCTACCAGATAGATTTTCCTTTTGACATAGTTGAACCATGCCAAAGATCACTGAAGGAAGCATTTTCCTTCATTTCAATGACCCTTGGAAGCAAGCCGGAGTATAAAAACCATTATATAACAATATTAATTTCACAACACAGGAAATTTCTGGACATTTTACTTGTATTTTTTAAAGAAATAATCTTTGTTATCCATCTCCCAAATAAAATATAAATCTTTATAATATGACATTTACAATAGGACATTCACAGATTTGGCAACATGTTACAGAAACAAAATATTTTATATAGAGTATTTATTCTCTGTTTCAAAATTATGTTAGTATTAAAACAGATTAAAAATTCTGTTCCAGTTTTAAAAAATTCTACTTGACTACTGCTTAGCACAAAATACAGGACACAAGTTAAACACAAGTTCTAGCATTTTCACATTTCATTTTCCCTCGTACCTGTCCAAATTAAGATTTACTAAGACAGAAGGAGAACTACGTTGGGAAAAAAATTGCTTTGCACATCGTTGAGGTCCTAATTTATCCTGGGAAAATTCGTTTTTTTTCCCCAAAGCATTCTGTCAAACTGGCATCTACACTGTGTTTGTGGTGTGACATATGTTACCAAAAAAGTAACTGCTGATTATCACCACAGAAATTAAAAAAAGAAAACATTCTTTAGAACATGGTTGGTTAAATTTTCCACTTTGTTTGAAAGAATTGCAATTATGGGTTATCTAAAGTGGACACCAAATAACAGAGCAGCTCAACAAATGGCTGCCCGCTCTGTCATAGAAATACTTCAGAACCAGTGAGGACATAAACATCGCTTCTCAAAGAGGAAATTAAACCAGCAAACAGAGAGTATGCAGTTCAGGGTGGACAGAGGCAGAGAAGAGGCCCTGAGCTGCCCCACTGCTCTTAGGCTGCTCTGGAGAACTTTGGAAAACACAAATGCTTCGAAGTTCATAAGGTTAAAATATTTATTACTTGGTTTGTAATAACAAGGTAATATAAAACACTGCAGAAAATACCTGTAAAATTGGCAAGAGTAATGATGAACTAAAGCTGAATTTTGACCTGCAGGAAATAGGTGCAGTGTCGCTGACTTCAGGCAAAGTCTATCTAATTGCTCTGGGTCTGAATTAACCCATAAATCTTTGGCATTGCTTTCCATGGTAATAGTTTTGCTCTTGTTAGTATTAGGATCAGATTCACAGATTCATATGAAATATTTTGGGTGGCTTAAAGATATGGATCTAATTACTTCCTGCAGTAGTTCTGTTTTAATTAGTAAAACAGGAAGTTCTAACATGGATTTAATCCTGAGTTAATAAGTCCTAATGAGTAAATTTACTATCTGTTTTCATCCAAATGTATTTGAATTTAATATCCATGACTACCCCAAAAAGAGGACTCCACCCAGCTCATTTTAAATCAGAAAAAGTGAAATAATGACAAGGGTTTGAGCAAGGTATAAGCTGATCAGTGTCACAAGATCAATGTAGCCTTCTCATGTATTTGCATGTGAAGAGCAAAAAACACATTAGAGAGCCGGACAAGCCACAATCCCTGTCTGTCATCTTACAGGACTTGAATTGGCCTCACCTTTTAGACAGATCTCTGCTTCTTTCATTTCTTGGGTATCAGAAGCATCTCTGAGCCAGATGAACGTACCTTGGTGCTGGCTCCATGCTCGAAAGGGCCCAGCTTCTTTGCAAAAAAGGTCTTTAAACTATTTTGCCTCCCTTGTATGAGCACATTCGGCCTGTCCGAATGTTGAACCAGATTGTTGAACCAGAGGCTCACAGAACTACAGAACATTCTAGCCTGGGGGGCACCTCAAAAGATCATCCAATCCAACAATTCTGGGGAAAGAAGGCTTAGACAAGACAATCTAGTAGTCTGTCCAATCATATCTTGAAAACCTCCAGCGATGAGGACCCTACCCCATCTCTAGATACTTCATTTTACGGGGAATGATTGTTCTCACTGCAAAAAATGTCTCTATTCTATTGAAATGAAACATTTCCTGGCTACTTTCACTTGCTGCCCTTTGTCTTCTCCATATAGCTCCTTGTGATGATTGTCTCTGTTCTTTTTGTAGGTGCCTTTTAGGTACTGAAAAACTGTGGTGATGCTCCCCTAGGTGTTCTCTTCTCCAGGGAGAAGAGACATAACTACTTGTAATCTTTCCTCATAGGACATGTTGTCTAGCCTTTGATGATAGTGATAGACCTCCTTTGAACCCTCTCCTGTCTTTCTGTGTTATTTTTGAATTCTGGGGATCTGAACTGGACATAATACTGCAAGTGTAGCCCAATAGGCACAGAGTAGGTTGGGATTGTGGTATCTCTGTCTCTGCTAGGTAACACCCCTATGGATGCTGCCCAGTATCTCAATGGTGCTCATGAGAATAAACTACATACAGACTATGAAAAAATGGTGAAATAACAAACTATGAGTGAAGTAGCCATAGAAAATCCTTTTCTAACATGTGATAGGACTGATCATGCTTTCTTTCATGTTGCTAGAAATGCTTATGTATGTAAAATATTGGCTTAAAGAGAAGTTTTAATCAATGGCTTCAGTTGACGATATCAGGAAGTAAATTTACTGGTTTTGTTTTCCCTGCCAGAATGTCAACATAGTATTTCTATTTTTTCAGCTATGAAATGTAGCTAAAACCATAATAAATTACATTGTTGTGGTGTGACATTGCTGAAAACATTAATGTAATTTTCTCCCTTTTATATAAGTTATTTGAAAACAAATATTGTTTGTATTCTGTCAAATGTTTTGAAGTCTGCTAAAGATTTTAAATTAAAAACAGGGACAACTAATATAAAATTAAATAAACAATAATTTATTATTTCATGACAAAAAAGAATAAAACAATTTTCCTGTAAATTTTCAATATTGTGTGGAGACTTTATATACTTGGATTTATTTAATTTTCAGTTTAGACTTATTCTAATAATTTTCTATTTAATGAAAAACTAAATTTGCACTTGCCTACATTGTATGTTCATATTATTAATTATAACAGGACTTCTTTTGAAAGGCCAGTGGTAGAGAACAATGTAACACACAGGAAAACCCTGTTTTCCAGCAACATCTGGCTTGTACATTTATTATATTCTGATATTTCTACTGCTCCCTTCTCCAATGTTACACTTAGCTATAATAGAGGAGCTGATTTTCACAGCCCTGTCAAATATAAATCAAAGCAGATCATCAATTTTCTTAAGGTATTTCAGCAATTGGACTGTCAGTGTAGACCATTTCTTTACTAGTGTTGGATTTATGTACAATAATATGCTATTACTTAATTAAACAGACAAAAATAATCTGAGTGATAGGAAAGGTCTACATGTGAGCATCCATCAAAATTATTTGATATTTGTATCCAGCTGCCATAAAAATAAAATGTAATTTGAATTCCTGATGCTTTATGTCTAGAAGGTCTAAATTCACTGGAACAAACACATGAGCATGACAGCTAGATACTTTTCTTACCTGTTCTCTAAGGTAATATAACAACATTATTGCTTCAGTGGAATTACATATTGTCAAGCTTTCAGAATGTGATGTGTATCAGTTGCAGGACTCCTAACATCAAATTAAATTTATAAATAATAACCTACAAAAGATTTGATTGTCAGGTTTTGACAGTGTTCTTCATCAATTCATTCTTTTTTGTCATCCCTAGAGATCACAAACACAGCCTTGACAAGCCCTTTGCTTTTAACAAACCACTAATTAGGACTTGTAGTTTTCACTTACAAAATAACTACAAAAGGTTATTACACACTATCCATACAGATGTTTCCTTGGCCATATATTTTGACTTGATGTAAAAATGGCCGTCTATAATCAGCTTATGTGTCCCCTCTCTATCACAGTTTACTTCTGCAATTGAGACATTATTTCTTTAAATTGAATGTAAGACATATAATCTTGAAAATTTATTATAGTATAAGCCTGTCCAAATCAACCTAATTTTTAAGATTTTGTTGAGTAACTAAAAAGTCAAATTAATATCTAAAAGTAATTTTTCCAATTGTAGTTCTTTTTGAGACAAATCTGTGATCATGTAAGAAGATTATGTGGTAAAATCACCATGATATTCCAATATGGTAACAACTGGGATTATTCTTTCATGGAGCAAGGGTTTTTTTGCTGTTGGAACAGAACAGCACTATATGTATGTTAGGATGTTAGTATTTTAGCATGTCAGATGTAGAAAAAGTCACTGCTGCTTCAAATAGACATTAGGAGTGTAATAGTATCAATTAATGATTGACCTTTGAATCTGCATACCTACCTGCACACAAGCATGAAGTAAGCAAGGAAACATAAATTGGAGTGTGATGCTGCGGTGTTCTTAGGACAGTGAATTGCATTTTTTTTAATCTTGAAAGAAAACTGAAATTGTTTCCGGGGCTTTCTCTTAGAAAAGAACCTTTGAGCAGGCTTTTACCTCAACCCAAGTAAAGTTTGATCTTTTATGACCTTTTATCTTCTTAGGTTATTTCCTGACCTTCTTGGAACCAGTAAACAATATCACTGTAGTCCAGGGGCAAACAGCAATCCTCCACTGCAAGGTAGCAGGAAATCCATCCCCGAATGTCAGATGGCTAAAAAATGATGCTCCCGTGGTTCAGGAGCCAAGACGGATCATCATCAGAAAAACAGATTATGGTTCACGTCTAAGAATCCAGGATCTAGATACCACAGACACAGGATACTACCAGTGCGTGGCTTCAAATGGGATGAAGACAATAACTGCAACAGGAGTTTTGTTTGTCAGGCTTGGTGAGTTCCTGGCTTTTATGACTGCTCAGACTGCTTTATAGACTAGGTATTAGTTTTAACCATAGCATAATGAGAAATGAATTTAACCTTTTAGGAAAAATTCTCAACACAAAAGAAAATAAAGTCAGTGCCTGGGGCCTCTCTCCCAGCACAGAACTTCTCAGTTGAACTTGATACCTCTTTAGTGGTAATAAAAGAAAGTAAATACAGATGTAGAGGTCTGTAAATACACAGAAGAAAAAAAATTAAAGAAGTGCTGGTAAAAAGTACAAAAAGGTAACATTTCATTGCCTGGAGTTTTCACTCTACTGCTGAACTCAGTCTGTGAAAAAAACAAAAACTGATGAGAAGAATGACAAGGGGTTTTCTGTGTGATGTTCATAGTTCTGGGCCTATCCTTGTGAATATCAGTTCTGTACTGCTATGTGGAGCGTGGCCTCAAATTCTGTCTTTTGACATGTAAAGGTATACCACACCTTTGAACAAGTGCTTATATGACATTTTGGAGACTTAATAGTCCAATCTGGAAGCTAGTCTTTTATTTAGCTTGCCTGTGGAACAATGGGAGAAAAAATTCTAGATGCGTTTTTCTAATTTTTTTTTCTTATTTTGTAATGTAAATAATGGATTCCACAGTTCAGTTTGTAGATATTGAGTATTGAAGTGCTGAGTATTGACCCTTGCTCCTGCTGTTGCAAAAGTTGATCATCTCCTTGCCACATCCTAAATTCTGATAGTAAGGCACAGTTGGGGCTTATTAAAAGGTAAACGATGTGTTAAAATAACACCTTGTCTAACTACCTGTGTCTTTATGGTGGAAAATATTTTATGAAAAAAACTAAGTCCATTCAGGTTGCTGCTGGAACAGACAGTAGATTCACGTGATTTTTATTTGTGGCTTTGAAAATAACAATATATAATTATGTTCAGGAATGCAGAGGGTTTTGTTTGGATCTTGAGATAAACCTTCCTTAAAGAGACAATTTCCTTTAGATTGCTATTGACTTTTTTTATTATGTTGTCCTTGAGCTAAACTTGTCAGCAATACTTGTTTGTTTTATGTTTGCAGGTCCAACAAACAGCCCAAATCACAATCTTCAGTAAGTACTCTTTGGAAAATTACTTAACGTGCTCTGACTACTTTTGTTCTGTCAGAATTTAGTTCATAAACTCAGTAAACACTGCCTGCAACCACAGTGTTCTTGCTAAAAGTATCTAATTTGACAAAAACTCTCAGAATGGATGCAACTTTTTTAGACAGAGGCTACAATGGGTTTTGATTTAATTGACTATTCTTGAGCAACTTCTGCTTGCTTATTTCATGTTTTGAACAAACAAATTACCACAAAGTCATGTTGGAACAGTAATTGTTTACAGGGCAAGTATGGGCTAGAAGAGTGGTTAAAAATGAATGGTAAAATGCTTAGCTTGCTGTGGTTGCAAATTTACCCATGCTATATGATTATAACTGGAAGAGCCAGGTAAAGCAAGACTAAAATCCTGTAGTTAAGTAGCTGTTTGTTAGTGTGATTTTTGACTTGAGTGGTGGTTTGGTGATTTCCGCAAGATGCTTGGGTTTACCTGCTGATTCAGTTGTAAGGATGAAAAGAGAATCATAGAATGGTCTGGATTGGAAGGAACCTTAAAGTCCAGCCTTTCTGCCATGGGCAGGGACACCTTCCACTTTATCAGGTTGTTCCAAGATCCATCCAGCCTGGCCTTGAACACTTCCAGGATTGAAGTATCCACAGCTTCTCAGAGCAACCTGTTCCAGCTCTTCACCACCCTCTGAGTAAAGAATTTCTTTTTAACATGTAATCTAAACCTGCCCTTTTCCAGTTTAAAGCCATTGCCCCTAGTCCTGCACTATCTCCCAGTATAAAAATCCCCCTGCTTCCTTTATATGAGAACCTTTTAAGGGTGCAGTGAGATCACTCCAAAGCCTTCTCTTTCTCCAGGCTTAATAACCCCAGTTCTCTCAGCCTGTCTTCGCAGAGAGGTGCTCCAGCCCTCCGATCATCTTCATGGCATCCTCTGGACCAACTCTAAGAGGTCCACATCTTTTTTGTGTTGAGGACAACAGAGCTGGACCTAGGATTCCAGATGGGCTCCCATGAGGGCCACACAGAGTGGTAGAACCCCCTCCCTCACCCTGCTGGACATGCTGCTTTGCATGCAGCCCAGGGTACAAGTGTCCTTCTGGGCTGAGAGCTCACATTCTTGGGTTACTTCCAGCTTTTCATCCACAAGAAACCCCTTCAAATGGTTGCTCTCAGTGACTTGATCTCCCAGTCTGTGTTCATGTCTGGGATTTCCCCAACCCTGGTGCAGCATTTGGCACTTGATCTTGTGGAACTTTTTGAGGTAGGTGCAATTTGCCCTTATTAAAGGATGTCTTGGGAACCCTAATTTATTTCCACTTGAGAAAGTCATTAAGTAATAATTTTTTCACTGTATCAGTCAAAATACTTTATTTATGTTATTATATAACATAATATGTTATATACCAGCAGTGCTGGCTGCCTCGGGTCAGCTTGTTGTCTTTTATATGCTGTGGGATAACTTCTAGGAGGATCTGCTTCATGATTTTTCCAGGCAGACAGGTGAGGCTCACCGGTCTGTGGTTGCTCACATCTTCCTTTCTCCTCTTTTTAAAAATGGAAGTGATGTTTCCTTTTTTTCAGTCACCAGGGAGTTCACCTGACTGCCTTGACTTTTCAAATATGATGAGATTGTTTTGGCTACAACATCAGCCAGTTCCCTCAGGATTCTGGAACATAGTTCATCTGGTCCTGTAGACTTGGGACTACTCAGCTACATCAAGTGATCCCAAACCTGCTCTTCACTTAATGGGAGAGACTTCACTCCCCCATACCCACATGGAAGATCATGGACTTTAATGGAAATGGTGACTGCCAGTGAAATCATTGAATAACTCATCTTTCTCCCAGTTTTTCCTTCTTGCCTTTCCTTTCTGGCCTATGTCATACCAATAAGCCTGGGAAACAAGTTTTGCATTGATTCACTTATGTTATAGAAAAAGTAATTAATTTTATTTCTTTTGGCTTCCCTAGTATTTTCCAAGTGCTTTTCCTGTACTGAGAATGAACTTGTTAATATTTCACAAATACCAACTTAAATAGAACATTTTGACTGATACAGTGAAAAAAATAATTACTTCATGATTTCCTCAAGTAGAAGTAAATTATGGCTCCCAAGACGTCCTTTATCCTGGGTTTTCCTAGGTTTCCTTATCCTATTTTCCTAGGTTTTTAATGCTTTGCTATGCAGTCTTTGCTAGTTTTGAACACTAAGTTAAAATAAAGAAATAACTAGGAAAAAAAAATTAAAAATCCTTTCATTTGGCTTTTGACACTTCACAATGTGTCTTGTACCATTGGTATTGCAAGCAGTAGTGTGCCATCATTGTTCTGGACCTGCCATTAAAAGACGAACTGAAGAGTACGCTGCTGGTAGATTATTTTCTTTTTAATATCCACTAGATTGGACAGAAACCTGATACTTTAGAAAAACGAGGTCAGGTCAAAGGTCTAGTAAGTCATGAGGGTCTTATCATATGAGGCCCAGGAGCTTTCAGGGATTAAGGATCTTTGCCTCATTGCATGCTTACTTCTGTTTCAATTTTTTAAAAAATCAGTTCTTCAAATAAAATGCCATATTTTGGTGGTAGAATTATTTTGTTTTCAGAAACTGACCCTGATTTTTTAAAAATCGAATATTTTGCATAAAATCATGCAGGTCAGTTTGTAAGCCAGAAAAGAGGAAGGGTGGAAAAAGGCAAAGGAGTACCTAACTGCTTGGAAGGAGGTCTCATGGAACAAAGGACTCTTTCCATTCACTGTCTGCACAGTGCAGCCTCACACTGAGCCACACGAGAGCCATTGCTGCTGGTATTAGTGCTTCAAAAAAGACATGCTTCAGTGGAAACTTGAAACATAAAACCATTGTAACTTGGTTTAAGATTATACCTATTGAATATTAAGGGATAAGAAACATTATCTATGTAGATACCATCTAGCAAGGTATTTTTATGCAGTTCATGCTGTGGATTCCTAGAATTAATTGGCAATTAGAGATTGCCAGAGAGAAAATGTGTGTAATGCCGTCAGACTTGCCAGTGCAAAAAAGCATCTTGACCTTCAGGTAATGAAGTTGAGGCGTTTTCATAAAAATCTAAATGTAAAATCTTTCCATCAAATACATAGTCTTAAATTGCTGTGGGTTATTTGGAGACATCTTTATTTTCTGTCGAGATCCACATGTCTAAAAATTTCTAGGGATTTTTCTGGAGAAATTGAGAATTACAATCTATCTTGTTTATCAAAAATATTAAAATTACCAAAAATAGTAACAGATAATCCAGATTAATTTACAAAGAAAATAAATTTGAAACATGGTCAAAAAAATAGTTTCTGATTAGCCTTTGCTGTCCAGAGGACTGTGCTACTAAAGGGTTGTTTTACTAGAGTACAACCCTTTAGCAATCCTTTCTCTCACTGCATTATGCTTTTACTTTTTGCATCATTAGTATTTTTAGTTTTGCCTCTCAAAAGAAAGACATCCTGTCTGTTCAGAAAGATACAGGTGTGTGGATATAAAATAAATGTTTAACAAATACCAGAGAATGGTTTTTTTACCATTATTTAAAACAAAGCAATGGGCATTAATATCTTGAAGTCTTAAGAGCAGAAGGGCAGAAACGGTTGTCTTTCCTTCTAGAAGTGTTGTTCTTTGAAGATAACATTATTCTAAAAGACTGCATGTTCTCTAGTCTAATATATTTTTCTTTTGAATTGAATGATTAGATTAAATTTTACCCATTGGGCAAATTCTGGTTTTGAAGCAGTTAAACTATAGTAGTGCCATCTTGAAGGGAGCTTGGGATGGAAGATATCTAATATTCAAATATTCCTTTTGTTGGCTCTTACGGGCTTCTGGAAAATTTGATGAAGCCTCTGTGAAGTGAGGAAGGCACACAGAATGCAGGCAGAAAGAAATTCCCCTAAGCTCAGCCAAGTGTATGGGGAAACAGCTCTGTTGTCACTACTGCACTTTTCCCTGTGTGGCCTTTCTGAAATCTGCTTAGGATGCCAGGAGCTGAGCCCTGTGCAGAAGAACTGGGTTTTTAAAGGACTTTGAGAAGTCCCTGTTTTATTGAACTATGACTAAGATCTGTTATGGGCTCGCAACTTTTGGTGCCGGTATGTTGAATGCTTAGGAAAAGTAGGTGAGAAGAAACACTGCCACCAAATAGAAACAATCATTACTTTGTGGAGGAATTTTTGACATATTAATTATTCAGAATAAATTTGACTGTACTTATGTCTGATTTTCAAGTGGTTTGGGATAGCAGTAATTTTTTTTAAGATTCGGGCCAATGAAGAAAATTGATGATGCAACTGTATTAGAAAAAAACAGTTCTTTCAAAGAGTGGAAAACAGAATGTATAAAACCAGTAAGGTGGCTCTGTTAAAACTCCAGTGAGGAGGTTGGGTTTGTGAGCAATTTATTCTCCATGGTCTACATATCCCAAAGCACACCTTTTCTGTGACCTCAAAAGGAAATTTCTGCATGATGTGAGGGGCACTCGTATATCTTTATGATGGAAACAAACTCATTTTTATCATGTGATGAATCTTCATGAATCCCAAAGCTCTTTGGCAAGCCAAAGGTATCTAACATCATACTAAGAAAATACGCTTCCCTTACAGTCAAATAGCAGCACCAGTTATATCTTCTTCCTTTCCTTAGGTGGTGTGGCAAATTTCTTTGGTCTCAACATAGTTTAGCCACAGATAACATTGTTAATCTTGGAAATTATACAAGATTATCTTAAAATTCACATAAACAGATGTTTTTTTAAAACAATACAAGGTTGTTTCAACTCAGAAGTCACAGTGTTTATTCAGGCCCATAAGGACCAGGTGTTTGATGATGTTCTTCCTCCAGAATGACATGCACGCCTTTTGTTTCATCAAGATATTCATGTGGCTGAGACAACCATATTTGAACTATGTATGTTTTTTTAAGATGCTTGTGGTAATATGTTGAAGTTACAGAATAAGCTCATACTTGTGTT